ATACCAGATGCCAGTTTTTGTAGTGAAAGTACTCTATTCTCTACTCAGCTGAATTGCTCCTTATTTCTGCTGTGCTGGGACAGCCCTGCTCACCATACACCTGCAGTGCAGATCACAGTGACACCTGAAGAAAAGAATTTACATGCTTTTGAGTAATTGTAGTTCTTTGAAACCACGACTATGCTATAGTAAGAAATCTAGTTTTTAAATTAATTCATTGTATGCAATGAATCCAATATTAAAATCCATAAAATACCAATAAACCAGAATTCTACATACATTTTATTTCTATAAATCTCAAATAAAGCTTAAATCATGTTTTATAGTGTCAGTTCTGCATACAACTGGGCAAACAATGAATAAGCAATACAGATTCAAAAAGTAGATTTCAGCTGCTTTTGTTTCTTTGTTTCATGAAAGCTTCTCTCAAAATAACTTCATTCTGAATGCAACTCATTAATGTGTGCTCCCTGCCCCCTGCCTTTGCAAGCGTTCTCCAACTGGCTAAACGTGGTGACTGGAGCTTTTCGGATTAATTTTCCTTAAGTGACCTACTTTGCAGAGAAAGATAATCATGCATTTATAGCCTCTGGCACTCTATTCAGGTCACAGATGGACAGATAGCAAGGCTATTCCTCAGTGACTTACTGGGGTTGTAACTAATCCCCAATGAGAAAGGAGATCAGCCTGATGTTAGTTGGTCAGAATGCCAATGGAAGATCATTGATGCCTACTTAATTTTCAGGGGATGTCACAGTTAGGCCGAATGAAACCAGCCAGCAGTTGTTCTAGGAGTGTTTTGTGGTAAAGATTGAATTACTGTATGCCATTGATGGTAAATATCTGCCTTTGAATCCTTTCCCTTGATGGTGGAGCACCATGCAGTGTTCTGACTGTGGACATGTCTGATGTTACACACGTACCAGCTACCGTGACCGCCACCAAGGATCAGAGATTTGGGATAGTTTTGACGTTTTGCTCGCTAACAAGTTCTTACAATCCTGTGAACTGTGGGAATAATGTTCCCTGTGATCAGACCTAAACCTCTGCTATGAAAGCGTTTTTTTTGTATAGCGTGACAATAAAACTCATATTTTGCCATTATCTATTAGAGGCCCATTCTCCCTCCTGTATTTGGCACTAATGTAGCAAAGTATGCAAAGCAGCTTGTTCTCTTATTTATTTTCAGCTGTTCAGAAGTTTCACAAGGGAAATTATCAGGCTTTATCTTCTGTTAGGGTATTTTTAAAAGTTGGGTGGAGCTTTTCACTCTGAGAAACAGGCATCAAGCAGGAGTGTTAAGGATGTATCTTTTTTTGAAGGACCGTCTTGAAACTTTTGAGTGTGCCAGGCAGTCCGTGATGTTAATTCTGACAGGTTTGAAGAAGTAACTGTTAAAAATTGTGACACTGCCAGCAAAGGGATGGATGGCTTTCAGCACAAAACAGAACATGCATGCAGGTTGAATTCTTGTGCCACAGGACTGCAATGTGTATGCCTGTATCCCCCAGTGTATACATACAGCTTTGCTCTTTACGCTGCAGTGCAAAGCTGAAAGCTGTATGTATAAAAAACAACCTCCTGGTAGAAGTTGCACTGCAGTTTGGGTCATTCAGAGTAAGTGTTAGTATTTTGTGTGCTTCCTGGAGCAAATATTCTCAGAATACACAAGGAATGATTGGGGTTTGGTTTAGATATTTGCAACTGTTGAGACAACCTGACAGAGCTGTGTATTTCCTATGACAGAATCTAACGCATCAAGCACAAAATCAATTCCTTTTAGCAAAAAGCCTTTCAGACAGGAATTAAGTAAAAGGTTGTAGGGAGGAGTATGTGCAGCCCTCTGGGTGGGACTGTAGTGCAGCTGTTCCACCATCAAAATTCTGGTCATGGGCTCTAGCAGTTGTTGAGAGCCCTTTGAATTTTCCACACATCAGCTTCTGGATCTGCGTGTACCCTCTCCCAGGTGTTAGCCCCCAGCATCTTCTGTTCCGAGGGAGAATTCTCTTTGTGTCTGAACTGTGTGTTTCTCAGTGTTTCTGTGGAACAGTTGATAAATTTGAACCAATGTAGCTCTACAGATATAGGCATCAATGCAGATACTTAGTCTAGCTTAAGAGCAGCCTGATATAGTTGTGCTTTTCTCCAGTCCTAAAATAATTAATCTAAATCCAAATGAATCCAGTTTTAACCAGAATAATTCACAAGGCATAATTTTAATTGTAGATTATTTTTTTTTAGTCTGTCAAGAAAGTATTTAAGAAAAGTAAGTCAGCATTACCAGGATTGTTTATGGGCTATTTTAATCAAATTACAATTTTATGAAACAAAAAATTTACTTCTTTGGTTCTTTGGTTTCCTGGTATGATATCCATGACATGGTTGTGTTGATGTCAGAGAATGTGGAGTTCTGTGAGAAGAAATGGGATAACTGTAAATAGTTGGGAAGTCATGGTGTGTTATCAGCTAGAAAACTAGACTCATTTAAGTAATGTGCTTCTGTCTTATGGATCCATAGTACAATCTATGAAAGATACAGTAGAAATTATTTGTGGAAAAAAAAACAGTACATGGTACAAAAAAATAATATCTGCATTAAAATAGACATGTTTGTGCCCACTATGTAGATCTCTTAGGATTAAAAACTATGGTTGAGAAATAATACTGGTGCCTTCCTATTGAAAAAAAACCCAATTAAAAAAATACCAACTCCAAAGAAACCTTCTAGCTTTTGAATCTAGAAAATACACACTTCATATTTAATGCTGACATTCCAGTATACAAGCAATAACTTAAGAGCTGCTGACTGTTTTCTTGGCAGGGTAGTAAGGGCACTGGGCAAAGGTGAAGGTGAAACATGCCACGAATGTCCTTCACGTTATTACTCAGCACTGCCTGAGAGTCTGTCTTCTGGGACCTTCATGGCTTAGAAGTTTATCTTATATCATTGTGGGTATACACATTGTTAGATTGGAAAAAAAAACTATTCACTTCTCTGTTTACGTATTAAATTAGGATATTAAGTAACCAAACAATTCTCATCCTGTAAGTGTACTGGATAAAAAGCTTTTAATCTGCTGTATTAACATCAATATAAAATCTGGTGTGTATATTTCTTCTGTGAGGAAAGATTAGTAGTAAGGCTCATTTTGTAAGCAGGACTACTAAATAGAACTACTCACTTGCATGAAATGGCTGGAAGGGATATTTGTTTGCCACATGAGAACATCAAGGAGTTGTTCATGAGTATGATAATGAACTGTCATGAATTAGCATGAATTGATAATGAACTAGATGTCTTAGCATTTTTTTACAGAATTTGTTGATCTGCTTGCTACTTTAAGTGAGAAGTAAATCTGATTAGAGAAATGGAATAGACATTGTTACTGAAGTTTATTGTCGTCTTTTGCAGACGTTTGTTCTCATCTTTAATATGTGAGTCTGCTTCCTGATGCAGTAGGATTATCATTATTTTAGTTTAGTCATTGAAGATTTAAAATTTCCGGTGGTGAACTTCTAATTAGTTGAATAGATCATGAAATGCTAGAGCAATTTGAAAGAACCTGTATTCCTCTTCTGAAGGAGCTTGTATTCCTGTTGAAGGGGACAAAGCGGCGTATTTGGAAGGAAATGCTGGAGTGTGGAAGAATCAGACATCACGTTTTAGTGAAACAGTAGATCTGATATGAATTGGTAATGAATGTTTCTTGGTGGCTGGTTGATTTTGAATGCCTAAGGAGTATTTGTAAGAGTCATAATGTTTTTGAACTATGCTTTGGTGGGATGGGCTGTGCATGTGCAAGAAATGGAAGAAAGAAACACAATGGACAAAATGGTGGCAGAATGTTTCATTGTTCGTATGTACAAAGTTCAAATAAACATATAAACTTGCATGCAAAATAGTAATAATTTATAATTAAATTAAGCATATTAAAATATATTTATTGTAATAAATAATCAGATTATAATAGTTCCTCATAATTCATCACAAACCTATATACAAAGTAGTTTTGGCCAGAGTTACAGATCTTTGGTTTTCAATGATGCCTTTAATAGTCAGTTAGACAAAATAAATTATTTTCTGTATGTATTTTCCACCTAGGTGTGAACCTCATATGCTGTTAGTATTATACAAGTAAACATTAATGAGCTATCTGCGTACTAATACATTCACCTGATGTGTCTGAGATGCTTTTCCCTTGCATACTGAGTGCAAAGATAGGGTCTGTGGATGATGGCAAACTAATTATCTGTGAAAAGTAAAGTCCAGTGTTTGCTCAGAGGATAACTAAACTGTAGGCAAGGATTGTTCCTCCATAGGCTACTTCAGTAAAGCCCAACATCGGCTTTCTCTTTACAATAAAGTAGTAATATCCCTATCCTCCTTGATCTTTAGTCTCTTTGCTGATATTACTGAGGAAAGGCATATTAATAGTATTATGGTGTTGAAATTCAAGATATTTGAGTTTGCAAGTACAAATTAAATACAGTATTTAATAAAGAAAGTATATTTGAGGGATAGAAGGCTTTCATTGAGTCAACTAAGCTGTAATTCCAAAGCACTACGTTAGCTCTCTTTACTCAAGTTCGCAACAAATCTTTTTCTATAATGTATTTCATAAAGTAGTAGATTAAAAAAGCACTTTCAATACATCTATATTAAAATAGTCGTTAATTATATGCTCATGTTCTAGAATTACACGCTGTTGCTTTTGGGAAGCTTATACAGATTTCATCATCCTTAACTTTTTGTTGAATAAAAATACCTTGCTGAACTGGGAGGGTAGAGGTTGTTTTCCAACAATGATACATCTCTATTTTCTGAATTTATGCTTTTGGTGATTTGAGCATTTGTATTCTCATTTGGATGTTGAGTCGTAGGATTTTTGCATAATTCCATTTTTCCTGAATATTTTGAAAAAAATTGTAAGACATTGTAAGAAAAAAAAAATAAAGGAAGAAACCAGGGGGCTCTGACAATTCTCATTCTGTCTGTGCAGTTCAACAATCAGCAAGCATTGGGAGGCAGAACTGGCCACACTCAAGGGTAATAACGCTAAGCTCACAGCAGCGCTGCTGGAGTCCACTGCCAACGTTAAACAATGGAAACAACAACTTGCTGCCTATCAGGAGGAAGCAGAACGTCTTCATAAGCGGGTAAGTTGAGGCAAATGACCAGGATCCTTGAGGTGGAAGTACTGGTGACTGTATTAGCTAATTTTCAAGTAAAATAAGTTTACTCTTGGGACTTTTTAGGGTTAATCTTTGTGACAGAAATTAATGGTTACTTTAAAGCACACAGGGTTCCTCCATTAGGAAATTCTTTCCTTTGTAGCAGTTCTTTTTCTGCAAAGGGTATTGTTGCAGGAAGAGTATCTCACCTTATGACATGTTTGCCAGCTTTCACTCTTCATTTGATGGCATCACATCTGTTTCAGGACCTTCTCCATAGCGTTACACTTTACTCCCTCTTGCATTTAAGCCCACAGAAACTTGACATCAAATCTGTAAGTTAGAGAAATCCTATTGTAGTTTCCTCATATAACAGAGACGAACAGGTTCTTCCCATCCATGACCTGTAGAAAAGTGAACATAGATTCAAGATCATTATATACAATTAGAGATCTGCTCCCACTTCCATACAGGAGGGGCTGGGATCTGTTCCCTTCACTGTAAATTTTGCAGAGGTCATTTGGTAAATCAGAAATTAGTGCACAGTGGGGGAAGGAATGACAGTGTTTGAGGGAGGAGTAAGGCATGCATTGTTGAAGGCTGCATTATGAAAACAAGTATATAATGTTTTCATTTCTCTTTTCATATGCAACTCTTCATATATTGTATAATTTATTCACCTTTGTCCATATGAATTTGTAATCATAGCTTAGGACACATTTCTGTGCAAAGTGAAGGCAAGATTAGTATATGTATGGAGGGAAGATGTCTTTGATGAAGCTGTATTACTTTTGTTAATGTCAGTTAACTTAGAAAAATATCAAGGAGATGTACTTGGTTAAGAAAATAAAAACAAACAAAAGCATTGCTTTTTTGCATGAAAACAGGTTTCATGAATATGCTGACAAGAACGGAAAGGACAAGTAGCAAACATGGCAAACCTTTTAATTCAGTTTTATCTGCTGTACTCACCTGTATGAAGTAAGGTATGGCAATTAAAGTTAGAGAAATTCTGCAAATTGCGAAGGGTTCTTTCAGACCTGTGCTGGCCTTGTCCAACTGAAGGCTGTTAGTAGTCCCAAGAGCAAGGCTCATAGTCATCTGAGGAGGGAGAAATTTAGCAGGCTACATCTAACTTGTGGATGTGGAAGAGCAGCAAGAATTCTCTTGACCTTGAGAAACCCGGGGAAATGGCAGGTTGTTGGGGCTGTCCTACACATAACTCTATGGGACCTGATGAGATGCATCCCAGAGTCCTGAGGGAACTGGATCATGTAGTTCCCAAGCCACTCTGCATGGTATTTGAAAAGCCATGGCAGTCAGGTGAAGTCCCCGGTGACTGGAAAAAGGGAAACATTGCACGTGTTTTTAAAAAGAGTAGAAGTGTCCTCACTTTTGGAGGGGAGTGGAGGGGAGTGAAGTTCCTGGGAACTACTGACCTGTCAGCCTCACCTCTGGGCCTGAGAAGATCATGGAACAGATCCTCCTAGAAGCTGTGCTAAGGTACATGGAGGACAGGGAGGCGATTCAAGACAGCCAGCAATGGCTTCACCAAGGGCAAGTCCTGCCTGACCAGCCTAGTGGCCACCTATGATGGAGTGACTACATCAGTGGATGAGGGAAGAGCTATGGATGTTGTCTGTCTGGACATCTGTAAGTCCAGTGACATGATCCCCCACAACTTCCTTCTCTCTAAATTGGAGAGATAAAGAACGGATGGGTAGACTGTTTGGTGAGTGAGGAATTGGTTGGATGTTCACATCCCGAGGGTAGTGGTCAATGGCTCAATGTCTAAATGGAGATCAGTGACAAATGGTGTCCCTCAGGGGTCCATACTGGGAACATTACTGTTTAGTATCTTTATCAATGACATAAACAGTGGGATCGAGTGCACCCGCAGCAAGTTTGCAGATGACTAAGTGGAGATGATGGGGTGGGACGCCAGCCAGAGGGACCTGGACAAGGTTGAGAAGTGGGCCCATGAGGTTCAACAAGGCCAAGTGCAAGGTCCTCCACCTGGGTCAGGAGAAAGCAGTTGATATCAGTACAGGCTGGGGGATTAAGGGGTTGACAACAGCCGTGCCAAGAAAGACTTGGGGGTACTGGTGGATGAAAAGCTGGACATGAGCTGGCAATGTGCGCCTGCAGCCTAGAAGGCCCACCGTATCCTGGGCTGCATCAAAAGAAGCATGGCCAGCGGGACGAGGGAGGTGATTCTCCCCCTCTACTCCACTCTGGTGAGACCCCATCTGGAGCACTCTGTTTGGTTCTGAAGTCCTCAGTACAAGAAAGACATGGACCTTTAGAGCGGGTCCAGAGGAGGGTCACAAAAATGATCAGGGGGCTGGAGCACCTTCCCTATGACAGCAGATTGAGACAGTTGGGGTTGTTCAGCCTGGAGAAGAGAAGGCTCTGGGCAGACCTTATTGCAGCCTTTCAGTACTTAAAGGGAGCCAATAAGAAAGGTGGGGGCAATCTTTTTAGCAGGGCCTGTTACAATAGGACAAGGAGCAATGATTTTAAAATAAAGGAGGGCAGATTCAGACTAGATGTAAGGAAGATATTTTTTACAATGAGAGTGATGAAACACTGGAACAGGTTGCCCAGAGAGGTGGTAGAAGCCTCATCCCTGCAAACATTCCAGGTCAGGTTGGATGGGGCTCTGAGCAACCTAATCTAGCTAAAGGTGTCCCTGCTAACTGCAGGGGGCTTGGATTAGATGACTGTTAAAGGTCCCTTCCAACCCAAACCATTCTATGATTCTATGATTCTGTAATTTTTTAATTCTATGATTCTATACTTAGACTGACTTGCAGACAAGGACCCTGAAGCCCCAGATAAATCATTTCATAGGGAAGAGTGACAATTTCCAGTAGACTGTAACTGTGTGTGCCATAGCTGGCTGGGCAAAATGCATGAAGTGTAGTTAAAAATGGTGCTTTTTGCAAAGTGATTTCAGCTCAAGAAATTAGCAGTTGCTGACAAAACAGCTTTGCTTCAGAAATTTTCTAGTCAGGCACAAGCTTGTAATCTGTTTTTATAGAAAGGGAGACTTTTGCTTTGTCTGTCATCTCATTTAAGCTTCTCCTTTGGAAGGGTGGGAGTGCCAACCTGTGCCCCAGGTTTCTGAATAGATGGTAATATAAATTGTGATAAAATTATTTAAATTACAACCTTTATTAAAATTACTATAGTGAAGACATTCAGGTGGACTTGACCACCAGATAGGCTTTACAATGAAGAACTCATCACTAAAACGCAGACATAATGAAGTAGCATTCTTCCTAATAAAATGTGTTAACAGCTTTTGTTGCAAAGCTGAGACAATATAGTCCTTACCTAAGAAAGAAAAGAAAAGGAGCACACAAGAACAGCAGCTGCATTTGCCGTGGCAAAACCCAACCAGACAAGATGGGCAAAGATCCCTTTTCCTTGATGTTACTCTCACTCTTAGTCAAATCTTATTTAACATCCATTATTGGAAAATACAATTAATGAATACAGGAATTTTTAGTGTGTCACTTTGCTTTATATGATACTGCAGTTAACAGCAGTAGTGATGAAGTCTTTGTAACTACATTCATTAATACCTGGTGATTTTTCATAACCTTTGCCCAGCAGATTTCCTGTAATTATTTTGTATTTTTGAGGGAACGCAGAATCTTGTAACATGGGATCATCTATGTTCTTTTGATCACCATTTACATGCCTTTATTAAATGTTTCTGCAATCTGTGACCTCGTGGCTTGTTGGTATCTCATGTAGAATATAGCAATGCTTTGTTCCTATGTCTCTCTGGGCACGCCTGTAAATTACAACAGGATGGTTTATCAAGAGCACTGTCCTCTGTTGGAATGGATTTTAGAAAAATACAGACTTGGCTAACCCAATAAATCAAAGTCTCTAGGCAGAAGTATGCGGGTAATGTGGAAAAAAAAAAAAAAATCAGTCTCAATCTGTTATCCATACAGCACAACACAAGAGCTCTTCTAACCTGCATGCTGGAGACTGATCTTTCAAGTTGAAGTAGTACCCCATTTCAAAAAGAAACTGCAAGTCAGATGCTTCTCTCTTACACAGATTGAAAATAGGCTCTTGAAATGTCAGATCTGGAGACTGTTGGTTTATGGTACACGTGGTAGCAAGCAGTGTTAAGTCACTGTGTTATCTTTCAGTTCAGTTTATCCATTAAGCTCAGTATATACACGTAGGTGCAGTTGATCCAAAAAATGTTCCTCAGACTGGAATCTGTCTCACCTGGGATTATGTAAAAGTTATATATCAAGTCTAGGATGGTAATCTTTTTTTTTTTCCTTGTAATTCTTGGAGAGACAAAACCATGAAGAGAAAGTGTCCCAGTCTTTGGTTTGCTTCTGTAAGTGCTTGTCTTTCTTCATAGGATAAGCACCTAGATAGTCCTATAGACATACTTTTAGTCAGGTGAAATGAACTCCATCCTTAGTTCGTAGAATTACAGAGTAATTTAGCATGGAGGGTAACTTTGGGGGTTGTCTGGTCCGATTCTCTACTGAACACCAGCTTTGAAAATAGATGCAACTCCAGGGCTGGATTGGGTTGCTCAGGGCTGTGAATCAAGTCTCAAAAAATGGGGATCCCATAGCCTGTCTGGGCAGCCTGTTTCAGTGTTTGACCAGCTTGTCAAATTATTTTTCCTAATATCTTATCTAATGGAAATCTGTCATGTTGAAACTTGCATCTGTTGCCAGTTCAGAAGAAAAATGGTGTTTGATCCAAAAGAAATTCTGGTGAGAAAAGTTGAATAGACCGGCTTTTTAGAAATACTCATAGGAAAATTTATTTCAAGGAGAAAGAAAAATTTGGAAATTAGTTTTCATGTTCAGTTGTACTGTCATAATTGTTTTATATGGAAAAGCTGACTGTCACAGCATGTTGCCCACTGGAGAAGAAGAATGTCTATAGATATGTATGAATTGGAGCGATACGCTACTTACAAGATCATAATC